AATCAACAATGATGAAGGCAACAGTGACGAGAACCGAACGATGCTGGCACTGGTAGTATTCTTCATGCATGTGTCTGTCTCTGTCTGTGTGTGTGTGTGTGCGTGCGTGCGTGCGCGTGCGTGCGTGCGTGTGCGTGTGTGAGTGGGTGAGTGAGTGAGTGAGTGAGTGAGTGAGTGAGTGAGTGAGTGAGTGAGTGTGTGTGTGTGTGTGCACCAGGCTGACATCTCCGAAGATCCGGCTGCCCACCGGTCCTCCATCAACGCATCACGGGCTTGGTCATCGGATACCCTGGCTGAAAGTGGTCTTGGGATTGAGGTCACGGGTTCCGGACCAAGAAGTTGAGATAGGGGCTTTAGGGTGCATCACGTCTAAGCAGCTGATTGTTGGGATTCGGAGTTTTTGGCTTCGGGCGTCGACTGCACTAGTGAGATTTAGGGTTAGGAAGAAGCAGCCACAGGACTCTAACAGCACAGGACCAGTGCATAAGAGTGCAACCCAAAGCAATGATCACAGCGGGCCGCCTGCGCATGACGCTGAGCCGCCCCTGGCAGCCAGCCAAACGTTGACAAAGAGTCATTCCGATTCATGAGTCCCAGATGCTACCCAACTGGTCGTCTTGCAGTGTGCAGGTTCGCTGTTCTCACGAGAGCAGGCAGTCAGGTAGTGGCCAGGAAGGCATGCTGTCGCTTTGGCTACGTACATGACTAAGTAGATAGCCTGTATGCTCAGTGAAGCGGCCATCAGCTTCGTTACTTCGTTCGCGAAACAGCCCATCTAGCTTTATCCTTCTTCAGAGGCAGTCAAGGCTTCCTTGGGCCCGAAGCCTTCTGCTCCAGGCCTGCATCAGCAGACTGGTTGCCAGCTGGCACGCCAGAAACCTCACCGCTAGCAGACACATGCACCGTAGTTCCGGTGCATCCGAGGAAGGTTGATGCGAAGACCAGCACCAAGAAGGGAAGCTGCTGCATCATGAAAAGTGTACGCAGGGTGTCTAGCCCCCTAAACTCTGAACTTTGCTAGATAACGGAGATGCTCTGGCCAAAATGCTACGAACGGCAAAAACAACGACATGCAGCTCACATGAATCGTTCGGCTTGTCATCTCGCGATGCATCAAATCTGCCCTTCGACTGAAAACTCGTAGACTCATAAACGTCAGACCTCAACACCCTCGCAGGCGCGGAGGTTCGCGCGTGTCACAGCCTCGACCGAGACACGGCAACAGAAATGGATTGAGCTTTGAGGACGTCTGCCTTCCCAGCGGTCGTTGCCGTAGTGCTGCTGTGCAATGAAAACCCCATCACCATGTCCCTCACCATCGGAGTCATCATCTTCATCACCAACAGAAAACAATAACCGTCATGTCGTCATCATCGTCCTCGTCGGCAAAATCCCTCCTCACTATACTCCACGACTCCTCGACATTCTCATACCAGTATTTAATCAATAACAATGCTGCTGCTGCTGCTGCACTACTACGACTGCTGTTGCTGCTGCTACTACTACTACTACTACTGCTGCTGCTGCTGCTGCTGCTACTGCTGCTACTACTACTACTACCACCACCACTAGTCATACTGGCCACAAGAACCTCTCTGCAGTGACGAGAGTGGACAGGGAAAATGGCAGAAACAGCGTACTGGTTGTGAACAGGAGCGGCTGCAACCGACTTCGCTTGCTGCTCAGCGGCTCTGTGCCTGCTGCATGCCGCGCTGGGCACCTAGCACAACACTGCAAGCATTCATGTGGCACGTGCATTCAGACCATCGGCAGGTTCTAGCCGAAGTGCACAGGAGGGAGGCTGTGGATGCGATGCTCAGTGCAACCGCCAACTGAGCAGGTTCGCCGTTTTCACAGGAGCAACCGCTCAGAAGGCAAGGCATGTGCAGACACCTTCTCATCTGCACCTCTGCCTCTTTTCACAAGGTTGGACATCCTCAACCAGGGACGTAGACGTAGACTGCCAGTCGATGGGCGCCTCCGAGAGGATTGTTGTGCCAGGACTCTTTCCGGCACTCAGACTCGTGAGCATGTCCCAGTTTCAGCAGTTCGTCGATACGTTGTTCGGTGTAGATAGGCATGCACTGGGCCTGACCCGCGGTAGCCTGCCCCTCCGGCCATTCCAGCCCAAAGATCACCTCGCCTTTTGCAGCATCCGGTAACCTTGGCTTTCCTTTTGTAAAGTCTTTGCACTGTTCTGGGTTCTTCCAACCGCCTTCGTGAGAATTGATCCGATGCGGACCTTCGTTCTTGAAGCAAAGAACGTAGATCGGGCCCGATCCTTCGCCCGAGGCAATCAATGATGCCACAGCTTGCTTCGGCCCTTCCTCACGTCTCACCATGGTCCGGCCGGCTGATACACGCTCCATCAAAGCTGCGAAGGCGGACTGGCTGCCAGCCTGCACGCCAGAAACCTCACCGCTAGCAGACACATGCACCGTAGTTCCGGTGCATCCGAGGAAGGTTGATGCGAAGACCAGCACCGAGAAGGGAAGCTGCTGCATCATGAAAAGTGTACGCAGGGTGTCTAGCCCCGTAAACTCTGAACTTTGCTGAATAACGGAGATGCTCTAGCCAAAATGCTATGAACGGCAAAGACAATGACATGCAGCTCACATGAATCGTTCGGCTTGTCATCTCGCGATGCATCAAATCTGCCCGTCGACTGAAAACTCGCAGACTTATAGACGTCAGACCTCAACACCCTCGCAGGCGCGGAGGTTCGCGTGTGTCACAGCCTCGACCGAGACACGGTAACAGAAATGGGTTGAGCTTTGAGGATTGACTTCCAGTTGAACTTGCCTTCAGAGTGATCATCGCCATCGTCATTATCATAATCGTCGTCGTCAGTATGACCGTCACCGTACTCATCACCGTCATTATCCTGAGAATGTTCTTCATCATCTCTTCCCGACTGTCACCATCACATGAATAATCACCGTCGTCGTCAGAACCGAAAGTAGCACACGAGCAACTGGCCCAGTCCAACCATGTACAATCATGTACACCCCAACTGTGGATAGGATCATCGACCGACGAGCACAGCATGTATTGAGATCTGCAGTCTCGGCCTTCCACGTCGCTCTGCGAGACGCGCATCCCTGGGCTCTTAGATGTCAAGCTATTTGCTTGAGCCGTCTGGCTGCATCTCCGAGAAGCTGAGGATCACTAAGGATCCTTTCAGGTCATGCTTGACTGACACAATACACTGAATCCACATCTCGAAATTTCGATAGCCATCTTTTCATCGCACAAAGTGCACAAAGGCTCTCCGAATTGACTCAGCACGCTGCTGACCCATCCTCCCGGAGCAGGTGATTGCAACTGAAGGCGGCGACAGACAGATACCCTGAAATTCCAACTCATCCCCGAGTCCAACACCTCAAGGACCCAACACGCTTGGCGCTGAAGTCTGACGCCTGCCTCTGCACAGCATAGCGCGTCGTACGCACGCGGCCACAGTGGGCATCTGCTGCGGTAAAACGAGGAGGAGGGGCTGGACCTGTGACGTCGAAGGCAGATCGATACCGATTGCACTCAGCTCGTATATCTTCGGAAAGAACAAATGGCATTGCCGCTGGTTAATCATGCTGCGAACGGACAAGAGGAGTGGTTGAGGAGAACAAGACTGCACTGATGAGAGTAAGGATACCCATACAACACAATCGCATCAACACTAGCAATGGCAATAACAGCAGACTAGATTGGCAATGACAGCCCTCACAGTGAGAAGAGGGCATAACTGGCATAACTGCTGAGAGGTCCTAATGCTTACGAATGATGGGAAAAGGCTGATCTTGAAATGAATAACAAAAACTAGTAGCACTACGTCAGCACTAGCAACAGTCGCAACGGAGTATGAACTGAATAAAGACAATAAAGAAACCATGATCTCGACAAGGCCTTCCGGCACCGTCGGTGAGGGCTCACATGGAGAACTCGTCGCTTTCCAGCTCCTCCCACCTCTCGTTCACGCCTGGCGGCCAACGCAGATGCAAAGCACGGTTTCCCTCGATCCATCAACCGATAGGGTGTCAATAGGATACATGCCAAGATATGCCAAGCCCATCCTGCAATTACACACTCCTTCTTCAGACCTTCACGTCATGGCACCGCGAGACTCTCATGTCTTCCCCTGTTGCAGCCGGTCATGTCCAACAACCCTCGCAGGATACGCTATTATCTGCCCTGAGAATGAACCCACTAACGGTGGGAAGGGCCGTGTAAACATCGGCCTGTCTTCTTCATGGAGGATTGGAACATGATGGTCTTCTCATCATCCTGGCTCTCGGAAACCCGCAACTTTCTGATAGCATAGCAAGTTCAGTGCACTGAGCCTCCTCCACTTCTTCCATCATGGCCGCTTGGGCCCTCGGACAGGGGCCATCATGGGTCGCAACGACGGACAGCATCGAGGCACCCAGGTGGACATGCTTGGAGGTGGTAGGAAACGCGGCCACCGTTCTGCAGGAGTTTCTCCAATTTCCGAGTCCTGTACGGCTCTGCCTCCCGAATCGTGCCGCCGCCAAAGTATCACGCGTATTTTGCAGTGCGACTTAAGCTACGCTATCCCAAGTCGTGCTCCTGCCAGTACATTTCCGCCTTGCGAAGTCGTGCTCTCGCGACAGTGCAAGTGGCACCAATTGGCCAATTGGGTCTTGGGAGCATGAGGGCTCCCGGAAAGGTTCGAGGGCATGTAGGGCTTGGGTTTGGGCTTCAGGCTGCCGTAATGACGGCTACGGGTTACATAACGATCCTCATCGTGATATGGACGGCCGATGAAGACGAACGACCATGATAATGATGACGACGACGACGACGACGACGATGATGATGATGATGGGGATGAGCATGAGGATGGCGACAAAGATGGCGAAGTATGTGCCCGTGCACCTTTGTGAGGGTGCCAGTGCCGCGAGCTTGCGTGCGTGCATCAAAGGGGTATTTCCGAGGATCCAGCTGCCTACCCGTCCTCCGTGGACGCGTCACGGGCTTGGTCATCCCAACCCTGAGTCGAAGCGGTCTTTGGCTTAGGGTCAAGACTTTAAGGTTCAGGACGAGCCAAGGGCTTACAGGGTGCAGGCATGAGGGGATTGTGCCTTAAGATTTCGGGCCTCGACAACTGATCTGCCTTGTCGCTATGACTACTGGAACCGCCACTGCTAAATCATGCTAAAGAAGATATCGTGTGCCATATATTACTGTACCATATGATATCACCTAACACCATGTAATGAAACCTGAGACGACATAGGTTTAGGGTCTTTCCTGTGAGCCACGTCCTGCAGGGTCCCCGCTTGGGGTCCTGAAGTGAGGGGATGCGGGTATGTTGGCATCTTCCCGGCATTCGGAAAGTTCCAAGATTGCTATCCTTCCAGCGGAGCTAACCTCTTTGTGACGCCACGCTGGTGTGTAGCTGCAATGCACTTAGGGCATTCGGGTAGATGGAATCTTGACTCTCAAACCTTGGAGGGCTCAGCAATTCAAAACCCCGAAGCCGTGAACTGCAGACGCCGAATGGCCTAACAAAAATAGTATCGCGTGCTTTTTCAATCGGCAGATCTACATTCTCGTGTGAGGTCGTGCTTTCTTCTCCAGCTTGCGCCGGCACATTCGAGGTCACAGACGGTGGGAAAATTCGATCGAGCGATTCCCGACAGCTTTCAGCAATCACAGTCATCGTCATCAGCATCACCCTTTCTAAGCACCAACCTCTTAAATCGTTCGTCGTCATGAAGATCATCGACATTATCATCACCATCATCATCATCCTCGAAACCTCCACATATTACACCATGACATAAGACCATCGCATGTAATATCAGGTCATACCCTACCATATCATAAATAAATAAACAAATAAATAATATACACATATATGGTTGTATATATATATAAATAATATGTACACATACATATGTATGAGTTTTTTATGTATGCATGTATGTATGTATGTATGTATGCATGTGTGTATGTATGTAATCTCATATAATGCAATGAATAGAGGGGTCGGGCTCATTCGGGAAGATCAGGGCGATGCTCAGTTTCAAGAGCCCAAAACACGCGGCGAACCTCGAGGGCGCTGGTGTTCTCAGGGCGCGGCTGCATGAAAGATGTCTCTTCTTCTTGAACGTCATCTCCCATGTCGTCCATGAACATGGCACCTTATCCACATCTGCTTACGCGAAAACCCCGTGAACCGAAGCAATTCAACGACGACGGGCGACAAACTTACTGCTGTCACACGCCGGTGCCAGTTGCATGCAGAGAAATCCTCTGCCCTTTAGGTGCGCAGAGAGCCCACCAACCGAAGCAAATGAAAAAAAGGGGCGGGCAACCCAGGAGCCCGAACCCTGATCCCAGTCTTCTCCCTCTGTGCCTCCGGAAATGTTCTGCGAAAGAAGCGCCACTAGGAAAAGGAATGCCTGCGGTGAGAAACTCTGGCTTGAGGGTATCGGGCTTCGGGGCGTACCATCTTCTTTCCCCCTAAAAACTGCTTCCCTCTTTGGCAGCACGGTGCTCAGATATTGCTGCAAAGAGTGAGGGTATGAAGAAGCAGGGGCTGTGGGTGCTGTATTGGGTGCAGATATCACCATGCCACTTACACATCAATCTAAAACCCTAGCCTTCAGATCCTTCCTTTGCCGCACAAAACTGTGAGAAGCTCCTCAAACAAAGCTGCTCTCCATCTTTAGGGCTTTAGGGTTCAGGGTTTAGGGTTTTTGATCTTGAGATGGAGGCAAGGCTGACATGAATGGTGAAAACACTGCTGGGGCACTCGAATCCTGCGGTCATGTCGCATCTTTTGGCAGTCGCATCAACAACCATTCACCTAATTCTCTTCATGGCGACACATTCCTTCAACTCCAGGTAACACGACCCTCGCTAGACTCTCCACTCTAAGCAATTCCGTGTCGGCCGATGCTACAGGTAGGAGAGCACGACTCTACCGTGCAGGGAACAATGCCGGAAAGTGCTTCCTGTGTTGTCTCTGCTCCACTCCTACCAGCACAAGCGTCTTAAATCATGCTCACTCTCCTCTGCCTCTTTAAGTTTAGGCGTTGATGCTCAGGGTTCGTGTTACGTGGAGCCCTCAACTGCCTTGTGCATCATGGCCGCAATCTGTGACGGAGACTTTTGGCCTGGAACAGGAGGCGAAGCCAGCGGTCTAGCTCTGTTCTACAGGCAGGAAGGCTTCAGAGATTTCAAGCTCCTGGAGCCTCGCATTCAGACTGGGCTTCCTCGAGGCACTAAGCTTCATCAGACTAGCGGGGTTGGCGCACGGCACTGCTAAACACCGCGGAAGTGACAGAACTGAGCTTGGCTTCTATGGCCCATACGGCCATTCAAAGGTCAGAGATTTGGTGTGTCGACCTCTCTGTACGATCTGGATATGTATTGAATGTGCCTGGCTATCTTCGTTTTCGGGTATATCTTAGTGATCTGCAGGGCCCAAGGCCCCAGGACCGAGGCAGCGGCTAAGGTAAGAATGGATGCAGTGCAGGGTTCTTTCTCTGACTAACTGCGAAGGAGGTTAAGGACTTCCTCCTCTTGAGCCAAAAAACCCCAGCCGTCGAGGCCATGCTTAGAACAGTGAAAAGCTATCAGCGCTGTCAGCTTGAGATGAAGAAAACACTCCGAAGAAAACAGGTAGCTGGACTGTGACAGGACAGAGTGGGTTCGGAGTTCAGGGTGGCAAACTGTAGAATGCCTTTTTTGAGCAGCCGCGAGCACGCTACGCTGAGGAATCCCGCCAGCACGTCTGCTTCTCGGATTTCGGTTATTTGGGGTGTATCAGCTACAGTTCGAGAGTTTCGGGCTTGGGTCCAAGGGGCGGGACTCGATCAATATAATGCAAGCGTCAGTATGAGAGAAGCCTTTTTGCGTGCTGAGGCTCGAAGCTTCAGACTTGCACAGTTGATGGTGCGGACTTCAAGGTCACTTGCGAGCCTCCAGCCCCAACGCGCGGCATATGTACATGGGGTTCTGCGACATGGAAACCCTCGAGTGAGAGCCCTTAATTACTTCTCGAGAGTCTGATAGCGCACCGGCATGCACCAGCCGCCTTGGTCTGAAGAACCCCACCTGCCAGACATGCCAGCCCTACCTGATGCTAGGCAAATGAGCACATATTTACAGCTCCAGAGGCCAGAGAACGCCTCACTTGGAGATGTATGTGCTTGGGTTCACTCCCACCAACATCTCCACATCCTGGAGCTGAAGCCAGAAGACGCTTTGCTTGCTCCATGCCGCAAATGTACCCACCTTTCGACTGTCACGAGCCTTGTCGGACTGCGTGTCCGCAGAGACTCCGCCACCACCAAGTGTGTCGTACCTGGCAATGCCGCACCCCACCAAGACGCCGCACTAAGATCTGGACAAAGTGCAAAGGCTGCCAGATGTAGTTGATCAAGTCCTCACCCGACAGTCCTGCCCGATGCGGCAGCAGATCAGCAAGGACGATGGCACAGAGACTGTAGGCAGTATATTATACCATATTATACTATATTATATGATACTATGCTATATTATATTCTACTATATTATACTATATTATATTCTAGGTCCTAGCTCCCCATGGATCTTGCCATAGGCGGTCAGCTCCGCCTCCACGTAAGCCTGTGGCGGTTCGGAAGGTCAGGGTCACAATCTTCTACCTGCCTTTACTGTCACCAAAGCCCGGTTACAAATGGATGCATCCTGCTGCCCTACACCTTCCTGAGATGATCAGGACACTTCACTGTCGGCCGCTGTTTCGAAGAAATGCAATCGTACATGGCCAAGGCCTCTGCACTGTGGGCATCGCATATCGGTGACTAGAATACAGTCCCGGGTCTCACAGCCGGTTGTGCAGCATCTGTGGGGCAAGATCATACCCCTTAACAAAATACAAGCCCACGTCGCTCATGCTCCTAATCCCTAGATTAGGCCCTATATAAACCCTAAATCCCAAACCCATCTAAACCATGAATCATGCTTCGAATCCCCCCTCCCCCCCTCTTTTTCCAGCCCTCCCAGTCCAAGGCCCCACTTTGCCATTGATGACGGAACCTCGATGATCGCAGCATCCGCCCGGCCATTTTGCATGATGCGATGCTGGTCCCCGATCGCCTGCTTCGGGGGTATGGTTGAGATTTTAGGGTTCAGGACACTGCATATGCATCCATATACTCCACATGACTTTATTGGGCTAACCCTAGGGCTCCAGCTACCTAAATAGTAGGTTACTGCGGTACATAATAGATGGTTAGTAACCCACTATTTAGGTAACTGGAGCCCTAGGGTAAGGGAACTTTAGGGCCTCGTTCGTAGGTTCTTAATCGGTATGAAAGCGGTTACGGTACAGGCCATCGATGCAAACAAGCTCGACGGTCTGAGCACGCTGCATTCTGGATCGTGACATTCGCCTGGGCCTGTGTCGAGGACCACCACGTTAGTTAGCAGAACCCTTGCCCGTTTTGGGCAATAATACCACCAGGCAACCCATCAGAAGATATTCCTATACTGCCGCCAGGGCATGGAATCTAAAAAAAGTTTTAATTAAGCACTGCAAGCGTTTTCCGATTGATAAGTAACAAAAAACGACGTTTACACACGTTGTGCAATTATTCCACCTAGGAACCTTAAAATTCCATACCCAGGGGTCCTCAACTTGATTTTGTGCGTTATGTGTTGACTTTTGTGCTTTGCTGTGTTTCTGACAACGGCTTCCTATATGGCTCATAGGTTTGATTATGCGACTTTCCTAGCACGTGCAGTCACACATAGACGCGCTTTTTGAGCGCTGCAACAGCGTCGGCTTGTTGTGAGAGGCCTTCCGAGCTCGATCGGGAAAAAGCCGCCAGACGTGACACATTCAAGAAGTAGAAGGGCCCGCAAGGACCCTCTCCTTCAAACCAGCCCCATGCCCCACACACAGTATGGCTGTATGGCGCAAGGGCCGGGTTGGGAGGGCGGAGGCGCCAAAAGAGAGTGGACAAGTGCTTCACCAACGTTTCAATGCACGATACATCATGCTTAAACATGGTCACCTGCGAATTTTTTTGCATGTGCACAGACAGAGAGAGTGATATGCTCATCGGATATCATCAACATACATCCAGGACTTGTATAGACTTGGTAAACGCATACAGATGCACACAGACATGCAAACACACATGCGTGCAACAAACATCCTGACCACAGGGGTATTGTATCAGAATCGGAAGCAACAGCGCAGGGCTCGCATCTTCGAGCCTGCTGCAACTTGGTGCAACCAGGATCAACCAGGGAGCTCTGAAGCAAGCCCGCCCCGACCCCGCCCCTCACCTCGGCAATCTGTCTCGCGGTCTGGAACTCTACAATCTTGGCCGCCATGGTCTGCAAGCAGGCCGCTTGGCCACACAAGTCGCTGGCGGTTGCTGCATTCCAAAGAACTCGATTTTAGAGCAGGACCGATGTTGAAGTGAAGCTGGGAGGTGAGGTTTCTGACATGCGGTCCATGGATCGATGTGTCTATTCACCGATGCACACAGACAGATATGCATGCATGCCCGCATACTTACATGCACACACACACACATATACATATGTATATATATATATAGCCATGCCAACATGAATATGCTCATAGATGCATGTTAGACTGTTAGACTGTGGTAGATTGCTTCATTCTGTATTGCCACGCGAGATCCCATTATATTTCTATATATGCAACGTGAGATTGCATTATAGGGCATTGTGGAAATGAAAATAGTATATTGTATTGTCCGATATTAACCTATCTTTCCTACGCGGCCTGAACTGTCGACTGTTCTATACGACTCTGCCGTACTATACTGTACAATACTCGATCTGTTTCACTTTACTATACTATGCGATGGTTTCTTAGCATATTCGCTCATACTGCTCCATTAATACAGTCTGTTCTAGTCTGTAGCATATTGGATTACACGCCCTACTATCGAAGTGTTGCTTGACCTTGTCTTGTAACATGTTCTCCTGCAGTGTTTTGCTTTGTTTCAGCCTAACTCAAGTTCTGCTCGATCCCATTTCGTTCTGTCGGTTACACTGCTTTATCTTGCATTACCTACGTTCATATTATCAGATCATGTTATATTACATGTTGGTATACTGTACAATATATTATCTTACATGAGTTCCATTATGCCACACCGCATTGCCTTGCAATGTACTTTACTGTACTGACTTGTATTGTGTTGTCCAGATCCCGTCATACTGTATTAGATTTCATGCCACTACATCACACGTCATTACAGTACACCACGTTACTTCACACTACATTACCCTTCACTACATTACACTCTATTGTGTATGTAATACTCTATCACATTACATTCTACTGAAATACCTCACATTTTTGTCCATGCTGCTCGCTCTTGTAACTTGTACCATGAAGCCTACAGGCCAATGCTCGAAACCCAGCCACAGCCTTGGACATCCTAGTGATGTTCTGCTTGCTCGTGGCAGCCGTCAAGATCGTCGTGGTGAATGCCTTGCGAAGAGTTTAGGGTTCCCGTATGGGATCTAGAAGGGCTCCTATGTGGGATCTATAAGGGTGCTGTCTTTAGGGCTTAGGGCCAGTTCGCAGAGACAAGGTCGAGGCACAAAGGACGATGTTGATGCTCCTTCAAACAGAGAGAGAAGCTACAACTTCAGCAGAGTCGGATTCCACTCTCTTGTCTCAACATCCCACGCACAGTTTTGTTCGCTTCGGATATCGTCGGCAGGTCGCCAGTGTTTCTCGAAGGATACGCAAAGTACAACCTGTTACCCTGTCTGCGTGTTCTTTGTCTCCGCCTCAGGGCCTCTTGTCTCTGAAACGGAGGCTCGACGCATCTCACCTAGCTATGCCAGAAGCCAACGGGAAGCAAACTCATGTCAGAAAGTCTGGGCTTCAGAGTTGTGCCTCCCAAACCCAGAACATCTTACCCTTCCGCTGCAGTAAACATTTAAGGAAACACTTCAACAGCCTCCGGCAAGTCATCCTCCTGGATCTGCAGAGACTCCACCGTCGCAAAGAGGTGCTGCCCGAGGGTTCCGCGCTGTTGTTCGGGTTAATGTCAGGCCAAGGGTTCATGGTGCACGGCTTTGGGGCGCAGTACAGATATGTGAATATATATATATATATGTGCACTCATCTATTTCTGATATATGCAAATATGTTTCTGCATAGATGCACATATACGAAAATCTACACATGCTTGCGTACGCCGTGCATCTCGAACATGGTGTTGGAGAGGTGAGATGGTGCAAAGCTATGCGCGTCGCAAGCACAAACACACAACTCAGTGAACGAGACATCTGGTGTCAAGATGAAGGCTGTCTCCACCGATACCTCTTCTCATTCACATACTCACCATCATCTTCCTTGACATGATAATCATGATCACAGCCGTAGACACAGCACCCTCGTCGTCCTGATTGTCAACATGGTCAGCGAAGTCATCATCTTCCTCACCAACCTCAATAGTATTACTTGCTTTCTTGCTTGCTTGCTTGCTCAGGGTACAGGTCCGAAGACCCGCGCCGAAGTGCCACCCCTCACCGTTTAGTTTCTGGGAGAGGACTGTGGGGTCAGTGGGCGGTGTTCGCCCCGCTATTGTTACTTCCTCTGCACAGCCATTGTTACTCTTTCTTTCGCCATTGCTGTGGCGATTGTCACTCTCTCTCTCTCTCTCTCTCTCGCTCGTGTGGTTTGTGGTAGTGCTGTGCCTGTTGTTCTTGGTGGCGGCGGAAGCTACGTTCCTCTTCTTATGGCAGTACCTGTGCCTGTTGTTCGTGCGTGCTTGGCTTTTGGCCTTCTTCGCATGGCTGCTGATAACATCGTGGCAACCATTACACAGGCTGCCTTGTACCACTCGTCCGCAGCATGATGCCAGCGAGCATCGTGACACAATTATCTCTTACAAATCAGTCTGCATGTCCCTGTGGACACAGTTGCTACATGTGATTGCAAGGTCCGAGCCTTGGAGAAGTACTCGTTGAGGTGCATTCTCATATCCTTGTCACCAATCCAACCGCAACATCTAAAAGCTGCGATGCGAACACAAAGAAAACGAACGAGGGCGGTGGCGGCGGCGGCGGCACGTGGCGGTGGCGGTGGTGGTGGCGGTGGCGGTGGTGGTTGTGATGGTTGTGGTGGTGGTGGTGGTGGTGGTGGTGGCGGCGGCGGCGGCGGTGGCGGTGGTGGTGGTGTGGGGTGGTGGGGGTGGGGGGGGTGGTGGGGGTGGCGGTGGTGGTGGTTTTGATGGTGGTGTTGGTGGTGGTTTGGTGGTGGTTTTGGTGCTGGTGGTCGTGGTGGTGGACTACCGGTAGAAGAAGCAGCTGCACTAGCACTAGCAGTGGCACAAGCAATAGCGGTTGCAGCGACCAGCAAATAGCATCTGCTGCAGGAGGAGGAGGAGAAGCGGGAGCAATCGCAGCAGCTAAGTCCGTGGCCTCTGCAATTTTTTGCTTCTCATTGAAGAACTGGTAGGCGGTAAACCTCTAGGCGATATGACCACAAGAGAGACCGAAACTGCCGCCGGATACATACTCACAGCCCTTAAAGCGGCCAGTCAGCTGACATGATGCTGGCGACAACCTGCTCTTACTTCTGACAAAGCTCCAGGCTTCGT